TCAACCAAATTTTATTCAATAACTTACACATAGATGTAAGAAGATGTGGTATGATTGCCAATGAGACAACTCTCCATCCAAGTCAAAATTTATAAAAGTAAACCATTATAGGTCACAGTACGGTCTTCCAAACGGATCATGCATATAAAGATATAGTTGCGGAATCCTAGCTCATATGTCCTTGTGATATTTTTTGAAAATTTACGGACCATGGCTAATAAAGATAAGATACTGATAAACAAATTTTCATAATTCTTATCAGCTGAATAAATTTGGTATTATTACTTTTTCACATTAAATCATAAATAGTTATTCATTATAAACTTTGATTTACAAAAGAAATTTAAACGCAAGTGTTTATCTGAAATAAAGCAGCGGTTCGACCAATATTTTCTTAATTCAAGGGCAAATAACATGTCAAAAGTTAATGATGATTTAAATGGTGTATAATGTTAATATTAAGTTTCTGCAAGTAAAAAAAACACATAATTAGTTAGAATTCATTAATAATTTAGAATTCTGCACCAACTCAAAATCCGGAGTGATTACATAGATCCATCATGGCTGATTCAAACAACCATCAGAAGATTCTCGGATCAACCATCTACTATCAAAATGTATCCCATCTCTTTATAAATCCGAAATTTACACAATAACTAGCTATTCAACGAAATAAATATTTAAATCAAACATTGAATCTGAATTAAACAAATTCTAGATAAAAACTTACCAGTACGAAAGTTTTCCCCAATCTAAAGAAATATTGACAAGACGAGGATTAAATATCTTGAGTGTTTAGCACAAAAAAAAACGATTCCCACGAAAACTCTAAATGGCTTAAAATAGAAACAGGGGATTTACGACATGCTTAAGTTACACAACCCATATACGTTGCATACCACAGAACACCCAAATTTATCACAAAACTACAAAAAATACAATAAAACGACCAATATCTATAGTAGATCATTGAAATTAGATCTACTCGATATAATGCAAAACTATTAATTCAGAATTATCGTCAGATCATATGTTTTTGTACGTCATATGAAAGGTTTTTTTTTTTCTGAGACGCCTTCCTAGGAAGCTAGGAAGGCGTTCAAGAAGAAAAAAAAGCCTTTTAAGACGTCATAATTATTTAGACTAGTACTATGCATGCTTTTTCAATGGAAATTGTGACATCAAAATGCATTCTAAATAGCACGAAAAAAAACCATAATACGAGGATATATTATTATTGTGACCAATGTAGAGTTGTCTTCCTTAAATTTTGGCGTATAGAACAAATATTAAATAATATTGGACTGCAATACTATCAATATTAAAGAATTTTCTAAATATTCTGCCGATATTTTACCCAAAGGAAGTTACTTTGAACTAGACATCATTGAGATGGGAGCCATCTCTGGGCGCCCCGCTGACCTTGAACTTTGATCTAGGAAGTTGTACAAACGTTATGACACACCCTCTGGTGTTGGTAAATATGCATACCAAGAAAAAAGTATGAAATTATAACGGTTCTCTAGATATAGAGCGGACAAAATTTGTTACGGACGGACGGACGGACGGACAGACTGATCACTATAGGGCGACCAGCCACTAGACGGGACCCTAATTTATCAACACCTTATCGCTATTTGTCCGCCATTACTGGACATCACAAAGATTCCCGTAAAATTTTGACGCCACAATGCAAAAGTGATTGTGGTATGACGTCAATAGTTCAAGAGGCGCAGATTCTCGGGTCAAGCTGCGCAGATTTCCAAATAGCGATAAGGTCTATAAATGTCCTTCCCTAGATTTAGATATTTCAGTTTAACACGGGAAACTTTTACGACAAAAGAGACGATTGTTATTCTTCTTTTTTGGACGCTTAATTATGTTTCTTTGGCACCATCTTACGATTTTTACATATCTGACTATGGGGGAAAAGGAAATGTCAACAACATATATGTGGATAATACATAATCAGAAAAAGCTTCTTATTTCTTTTCATCCATGTATATCTTGCAACAATAGTTCCTCATTCCATAAATTATTCTTTAGTAATACGATACTAGTATTTCTTTTTAAAGAATTATCAAATACGATAAATATTAGTACAGGTAAATTGACGCAAATGTATTCCTTAAATTTACGCAATTGATACCTTTGAAAAATAATATATGGCGCAAATGATACATTTTGAAAAACGCAATTGGCGCAAAAAATACATTTTGAAAAAAGCAATTGGCGCAAAAGTACTTCTGCCATCGGATTGACACGAGTATTAAATGTCAATTACTTATTGATTTGAAATTTGATAGGCTAATGATCAGTTGATAGTTGTTTAGAGTGAATCATTGTATTATCTCAATTTTCAAGATCAAAACAATTTGTGAATGTACATACTTCATGTGTCTTTAAAAGGAATAAAGTCAATTTTTTCTGTCCATTTCTTTCAATTATTAGATGACATTAGCAACATATTTTTTAACCGCTAAAATCATCAAAATGTCGTAGTGCCGTCATAAAAAATCTTTCTTACTTATTTTACGTCTTCGTACAAAAAAAAATCAAAACGATGATTTTAGGAATAACCAGGCAATTTGAAAGTTTTCATGTATATTTCTATGGAAGTTGTCTTATATAATATTTGATGTTCAATTCTTTTGTGTGAAACTTAAGAAATCACTACCTTAAAATATACTAATAATGATCGTTAGAGTAACACAAAATATGTATCTCGTTCCATCGAAATTTCAAAGAATTGTGAAAAAGGATATATATTTCGGTATTTCGACGGGTGTTTTTGTCCAGAATAAAGTACAAACACATCTTCAAACAACGTGTTACATCAAAATAACATATGAAAAGTATTGTTTTCCCCGTCCCATCGAAATTCAAAGAATTGTGAAGTAATATATGTATTTCGATTTCGGTGTTTTTGCCCAAAATAAAATACAAACACATCATGTAATGTCAAAATATCGTCGGAAAAGTATTTTATCCCATCCCATAGAAATTAAAAGAATTATGAAGTAAGATTGTTATTTCGATATTATGGTGTTTTTGTTGGCCTTGTGTACCTACAAATTATCGCAATTGATAAAAAATAAAATTAATATAATTTTAGCATCTTGTATATAAAGAATAAATGTCTCAAATGTACTCCAGAACTATGATATTCACCGCTTTACCCGTGTGTAAGGATTAACGGGTAAAGCGGTGAATATCATGTTATAAAAAATTGATGCTAGTTTGTAATTACGTCCAGTGGCATATATTTGATGCTTCGGGCTGTCTTCTTTCTAATTGATAGAATTTTTGAATAAAATATAAGAAGATTGCTCATTCATAATGCTTTCTAACTCGTACTCATTTTCTTGCAAACAAACAAAACAGACCAGTAACTCTACTCATCTTAGACACTTTCCCTTCCTATATAAATATTTTGTTTATGATTGAATAAAAATTCTCATCCGTGCGAGACCCCCATGGGTAGTCAAGGTCGTTAAACACTCCCTTCTGCCAGAGACTCTAAAATCTGTTTAAAAAATCGTGCTATAGGATAAAATTATACGAATTTCTCAGTTTGAAAAAATCCCAGAAAAATCGTGTTTCTGCATAAAACTTTTCTAATTTTAGTAAACTCTGTACTAAGTACCCAATATGGCCAAAGACTTCATATAATAATCGCATTGCACCTTTAACATCTCCCCATAGTGTATGAGGAACATTACTGTTGTAACATGTGTTTATGGGTTTTGAACTGATTCTCCCAAGAACCTTTCTTTTCCATTCAATTACGTGGAAGCACTATTTGAACACTAGTACACACAATATTATACAACAATTAATGTCGTAACTAAACAAAAAAGTACTCAAGAGACAATATCAAATTAACGATTTCACATGTTCGATCAGAACGTTGTACCATCCAGCAAAAATGCAAAGTAGAAAAGAATACTGCACAAATAACAGTATTGGTCATCTACAAATTGTATAAGAACCAATATCTTATGACAAAAAAGACACTTTACTGGATAGGGTTATCTAACTGACGGACAAACAGACAGACAGAATGGCGTACGAATAGTCGGTCAAACACAAATATTCATAACTTCATTATTCTAAGTGTAGGGTAACAATACTTAGAACAACAATACGATATTTAAAGATGTATATGATTGACAATTAAATATTACTTTATGACTTCTTTTTTTCCCATACGAATAGTTGTTCTGGCCTCCTGGTGTCAGAACCTCAAAGTACACTCACATCGCTGCATTATGCTATAACTTCAAGAAATAACCCAAAGACTTGTTTAAAAGAGAAAGAATATACAAGGAGACTGTAAATCAAATGATCGCCGAAAGATTATGCAGTCTCTGAACCCACGGAACTACACAGTGGCAGAAGGACAATACAGATATACAAAACATATGTAACAACTGATGTCAGGAATATGACAGTTGTTTTTCACTTGTTATGTTGGTTGAAAACGTTTGATTTTTTCAGTTTATATGGACTTTCCCCTTTTCGAATTATCTTGAAGTTCGATATTTTTCTTATACTTTTTAAAAATATATATTGGTAAATGTGACCTAAATTCTTTCGTCAAGTTTTCAAATCACAGATCGGGAAAAACCATTAACTTATGTTCGTTTCTAATAATACGTCCTTGCTATATCTTGTATTAACGCTTTGTTCATGGTATATTTTAAAATGTCCGATCGGTAGCTCTTTTATCGAAACTTCAACTCTAGTGAAATTGAGAGAAAAAAGATAGATTCAACTCCTTTGGTGCTTCAGTTGACGGAGAATGTGTGTTCCTACATGCATTCTATGGTTAATTCCATATTGTTTTCATTTGATATAGTGTACATGTACATAATGTATTTGATTAAATCAACAATTGTCACTATATATAACTTTGTTGAATGACAGTTGCAAACTAAAAGAAAAACAGACATGTCATTAAACTTAGTATTTAATTTTTCACTGTCAGAAGAACTTACCACTAATAATAATTGCGAGAATCACACAGATGAACGCCTCCCTTTTCATCCTCACAGATAGACTGTTATACATAATACATACAAGTAGTGAAATAACTCTTTTAGCTGTTGTCCTTTAGATGGAAACAGGTACTTAACAGTGAAAATAAATGTAAGATAATTAATCTGAACCTACAGTACGATTCGTTAAAATATTTGAGATGTTCTTCCTTCGTGTATATCCGTGTTTGTCGGGACTTTGAACAACAAATATCAGACCTACTCAAGTAAAGGAGCAAAAGCACTTGTTATTGCAAATTCAACCACTTGTGTTTGAAACATTCATTGATTCTGTTACAGCCCAAACTCTAAGGTTGACAGGCACGTTGAGATATAATCATCTTGACCCCCTCTCCTCCGCAAAGCAACAAAACTTATGCCAGAAGAAGTGATCGGTTGGAAAATGGATATTAAATCGGATGCCTTATGTAGGGATAGTGTCTCGCACTCTGCGCGCCAAAGAAACCGTGCATAAACTATTTCTGAATCAATGATCTATAGGTGTCCTGTCGCAAAGCAAAGGTTTTGTTCCTATCCGATATATCCTCTTTTTTAATGGCAGTCCAATATTTCTACCCTACGTACCGATCAAGCGACTTTGCAAAAATGCTTACAATAAGATTAAAAGCAATTTGATCTCGTCCTGAAGTACGTGAATTATTTCCCACTGACATTTAACAAATAACAGTCAATCATAACAACAAGTTTATATCACAAAGAGAAAAGAAGAAGATACCAACGTGACAAGATCATAAGTCGAAAAAAAAATGACAAACAAAACAAATCGATTGAGCGTCAGATGAATAGTGTACTTACTTATTTTATCATTAACATTAAAAGCTTTTAGTTTATCGATTGATAGCAATTTTTCGCAACTGACAGGGGTGGTGGGTTAAAATGTATTCGCTTACTAATCGTTTCAAACTAGACTTAAATGTTTCTTTTTTTCTTTAATGAAATTATGTACACCTTTCGATATAAGATCGATGGCTTGGTTTATATATCAGCATGTTTTAAGTGTTTTATTTACTTTCCATTACTTGCATGATAAAATTTTATTTAAATCTGCCAGTTAGTATTTAAAATCGCCAGACCAGCGGAGGAAACAACCATTAACATGTTAACTGAATTATTTAGTTCCCTTGCTGTTAAAAGTTATCGAAGGATTATAATTTAATTCGCCAGACGCGTGTTTCGTCTACATAAGACTCATCAGTGACGCTCAGATCAAAATAGTTATAAAGCCAAACAAGTACAAAGTTGAAGAGTACTGAGGACCCAAAATTCCAAATAGTTGTGCCAAATACGGCTAAGGTAATCTATTCCTGGGATAAGAAAATCCTTAGGTTTCCGAAAAATCAAAGTTTTGTAACAGGAAATTTATAAAAATGACCAAATAATTGATATTCATGTCAACACCGAAGTGCTGACTACTGGGCTGGTGATACCCTCGGGGACGAAAGGTCCACCAGCAGCGGTATCGACCCAGTGGTGTAAAAAGTTATCAAAGGTACCAGGATTATAATTTAATACGCCAGACGCTCGTTTCGTCTACATAAGACTCATCAGTGACGCTCAGATCAAAATAGTTATAAAACCAAACAAGTACAAAGTTGAAGAGCATTGAGGACCCAAAATTCCAAAACGTTGTGCCGAATACGGCTAAGGTTGTCTATTCCTGGAATATAGAGAATATAGGGATAAAGATATAGGAACTTTTCTGAGTTTAAGAATGTAAGTTTTCAATGTCTGGTGCTATTTACAATACAGATTAAGATGTCAAATACTTAGTGCTGACTATTATAGTAGCCTTCAGACCTTTTATGCATAGTGTTTAGAAAGTGTAACAATCTTTGCATACTAAAGAACCCATGAACTTACTATATGTGGTGTCAAAAGATGGTCAGCTAAACTTTTAGAACTTACCATCTTGTTTTGAATTATTAGTTGTTTATTGATTATTATTTAATCCTAAATATACAATATATTTGCAGTTAGACATTTAGTAAACAAAATCCATCCTCGGTTCAACCCTAACATAATATATGAATTTTGTATCACATCAAGGAAGTACTTTTAAAATGTTCCGTAACGGCTTTCGGCAAATTTCAACCAATAAAGACTTCTATAAATATTCTTTTTATCCAAACACCATCTCTGACTGGAATTTATTACCTGAAGCAATAGGTATGTCTGAAACCCTGGAATCCTCCAAAAGTGGCATCTCCACTCTAACATTTGAAGGATCCACACCAACTGATTAAACCACCATAGCTACTGTACATAATGTTTATATGTAATAATAATTTTTAATAATTATTATTGTAGATTATTTCTATTATCGAGTTGTTAATAGTAATTTTAATTAAGTCCATATATACATAGCACACAAGTACGTTACTGGAATTTTACACTCCTACGTAGGAGTTTACTCCCGTATCCGGAAGAAGAAAAAGAAGGCTTTATCGTGTTTCCCGAAACTCTAAAAAAATTCCATTTCTTATAGATAGATCAGAAGTCGTCCACCATCTTGTACTGGAAAATAACAGTAAAAATCGGCATAGATCTTTAATGAAATGTGCAAATTTTGAGAGTGGAATGCATTTTATTTGTAAGACTTTTTCATCCAGATGCGAACAAAATGTGTTTAATCATAACATTTTGGCTGTTTTTACAAATTCAGAATACTATTCGTTTCATTCAATTTTTCAACTTTGTCAAATAATGGGAGATAGCACAAATAATTGGTTTTTTTTCATTAAGGAATGTACATAAAATTTACATATTGTTTAGTAACAAAAAGCGAGTTCTTTGACTCCAATTTTCCGGCTTGTTTTTTAAAGCACAGAATGAAGAGTAATTTCCTCCTATTTTATTTCTAAATTTTTCGAAGGATTTGTATAAATAAAATACTTGATTCTATAATTGGGAAATAATATATTGTAATATTGTAATAGTTATCATATACTCAGTCATGATTATCAGATTCAATCGTTGTTTAGTTTTAAGGGTTTACATTATAATCTTTACAAATTTATACAGTTATGCAGTATCTGTGGTATATCTGTAGCTTAAAAAATGCTCCGTGACTTATATTTACTAGCATATTTTTTTTATAGAATAGCAAGTTATAAATCACATTTTGGCAAAGTATTATTTTTTTTATCGTTTTTAATTTGGACGATGATTGTAAGTTCGTTATGCTTGTAAGTTCGTGACATTTGGGGATTTCCACTTTATTCGTGACGTCATGCATAAGAATTTATCATCAGCAACGTGCTGCTTCCAAAATACTTCACCGGATATTTTTCATTGCATGTTCACTAATATCGGCTTTAAAAATAGAAGTTGTAAATGTTCTTGCATACATATGTTTAAACGTCTATTTCCACTATTACTGTTTTATTCCTCTCCTAAAATTTCGTTGAAATCTTGGAAAAATCCTTTCAGCAATGTTATTGACGTCTAAACAATGAGTCATCATCTATTTTTAGGCTATGTGGCGCTCCTTTTTTTTTTTTTTAAGGCCAAGAGTATTATTTTTAAATTCTGTATGTGAGCGGATTTTTTAAGATCAGAAATTTGATGTATTTTGATAAAACAAAACATGCCGATTAATGGCTCGTAAAAAGTAAAATCACAAAAATACTGAACTCCGAGGAAAATTCAAAACGGAAAGTCCCTAATCAAATGGCAAAATCAAAAGTGATTTAATCATGTGCCATTGAAAGCAAATTGAACGAAAAAATACTTTGATGTATCAATGACATTGTGACATCGTTAAAGTTATCTTAAACGTGTAAAAGTGTTTAATTCTGGACTTTTCAATTGACCATTGGAAGTCACATGTGAAAATTAGAATAATTGTTGTAAGGAGAATAAAAAAGTTAGTATGTCCAAATTTCTATTTTTTATCGAGATATTCATTTGTTTTTTTATCTCAAATTTATTCTGTATTAATGTTCAGATACATAATACAATATGCCTGACCTTTAAATTGTTGCACATGCGCAAGAGCCACCGTCCATGACAAAGGTCACGAACTTACAACCATGTCTACTTATTTTACGGAATCGGGTCACAATACGAAATATAGACAGATTAACCATGTTTCTGAAGCTATTCAACAATAAAGTATATCAGACTGTTTGCAAATAAGTAAAGAATATTTAAATTCACAGTGGATAATATTTGCAACAAGGTTTTGAATTTTTTTTCTTCCGTTTCGAGTTAGGGTAACGAACTTCCAATCATCGAGGATACTTGATAAAAAAGTCGCTTTAATTATTGAAATTGTAACAAAAATTTTAAGATGCCATTCTATTCAATATTATAATTCTAAAAGGCAGTGATCGTGATACCTTTCAAAACTTTATATTTTGGTGCTTAGCCCGGGTTCCCAGCTAGAAATTATTAGGACGTCCAGAATCTCGCATATGCGCAATCCGTTGTTTATAATAGTTTCGGGGACTTCCGGTATTTGAAAAAAATATGACCAGACGGGGAAAGAAGAAAAGGACCTATGTAAGAGAGAATATCTAACGCTCAAATGTTTCCAATGACCATATTCGTTTAAAAATAAATTAAGTAGCCAGTTAAGGCAATTATAGTCGCAGTTATGTAACAACTTACTGAAAATATTTTGTGGTGGAAAATCATGTTATGATTAATTATGTTTTCACCTTTACAATCATAATAAAATTCACACTTGTAATCACTTTAATGATAATTGTTGCAATAGATAAATTGTTTGACAAAAGATTTGAAGGACAAATACATAGTTGTACCAATAAAATATAGTTAACCGATTAGCATTACTGCATCTGAAAAAAAAAAACGAAAACTTTCTGTACAGATAAACATATCCTCGTCTCATGGGTTTTCGTGCTATTAAGAACGCATTGTGACCTCACAATTTCCATTGAAAAAGCATGCATAGTACAAATTCAGTTATTCATTTGACGTACGAAAACATATGATATGACCATACATGTAATAATTATATACACGTATATTTTGAATTATGATTTAAATCAGCTATATTTTTTACGGTTATCTTACATTTGTTTAGTTGTTGATCTCTTTACCACTTGTGGAATTAAATACTAAAGGTGAAAATCATCTGCCAACATGTTTTTTCTATTAATTTCAGCCAACAAGTTCAAAGTAACTTTTGTCCTGTTTTTGAAGAAAAATTATGATTTACAACAGCATTCGTATCTATGAATGATATGTTTTTTAGCGATACACATTGGATTTATCAGGTTTGAATTAACTGGCACTAAAATAAAGAAATTAAGAAGGAAAACACTTTTGGTGAATTTTGAATGACTTTGTTTTTCAACCTATTTTGGCAGTGCACGTGTATCCCAAACTCTGTCTGACCGACAAAATGTCAGACAAAAAGTCATTTGGTCATTCAGAAATCTTCTGATTCTTTAGTTGAAAATATTGTAGAAAAACGTCAAATTTCTTTTTCGATCAGACAATTCCTCAAACAGTTTGGAATAAACTGTTTATAGTAAATTATTCTTCATCAAATGGAGAATGCACATGTATGTATAAGTCATTGTCAATTTATAATAAACTGATTTATTTTACAAGAAGTTTATATATCATCAATTACAGTACTTGAATCTAAAGTGGGTGTATATAAATATTGGATTTCAAACGATCCAAACAGGTACAAATTGTAAATATGGTAAATATTCAATCTTATTTTTTATGAAGCAAGGGTCTTGCAATCTGATTGGTTAATTACCCAGGTGTAAATACCAACCAATCCAAGTTCACCCATGGAAAATAAAATTGCCAAAATTTGAAGAATTAAGATTTGGTTTCAGGTGAAGAAAATTGATTGTACACATATTCACCCTGCCGGTTATTGAAAAGGGTTTGAGACTATGAGTTTGCATGCATTTTGTTTTTGTCTTATATTCTATCATGTTAATTATGGTTTTGAAATGATTTGACTGTTTAGAATTATGCAAATACAATTAGAAAAAATGGAATTACACCAGAAGTGTTTATATGCATTGAATATAAGAAAAACATTTTAAATTATAAATGTAGCTTAAGTTTAATGTTAAAAGAACATTTAAACAAGACAGCAACAACAAATTTTCCAAAGATTTAAGGTACATGAAGTTAAGGGAGGTGGATATACATATACATGAAACTGGCTTTGAAGACCCACTTATAATGACGTGATCTGACACAGTGTTCAAGGCATCTCTTATCCATCCAACAACTGTTTTGATAAAGTTCTTCTCATTATGGCACTTCCAATGCTCCTTTAAGATGCACATCTCTGCTTTGCAACACTTTGGCTACATTTTATCTTCAATATGTGAAAAGTATATGTACATTGTACTCTATTTCAAGCTTCAAATCATTCCAAAACTGAACATTGTGTATGAATTTTACCAAAACTACACATTAAAGAACTACCATGAACAGACAATGAACATCTAATTATTTAAAGCTCAGTCATCAATAAGATATTAACAATAACAACCTCTGACATGGTTTCTAAATTTAGCTCTTCCTTCTCTAAATCAAGTTTAAAGCTTATCAAGAATTTATGTCACATAAATGCATGAAATCAAAAAGATATATTACAATGAAGAGGAGAATAGATTTTAATTTTGAAATTTAATGTACATGTATGATAACTCTGTGGAACATGTTGAAAGAAATTTGTATTTGAAAGCAAGCTTGAATATTGTTCTGTTTGCAAATGTTAACTTTTCTAAAACCAATTGCAAGGATATCATAGTGTGAAGACATAACATCCCAGCATAGGTATTTTCACCAGCACTAGTATAATATGAAATAATTCTATTTTAAAAGCAGTTTTGTAATAACCCATCCACCAAAAATTGTTAAATTTTAAGATTTGTTGCTGATTATAATATGCTTGCAACAATTTGAACTACATTTAAAGAAGCATGCAACATCTGTTTGTTGAATGATTTTCTTTTCCAAAAAGGTATCAAACAAAAAACAGTTAGTACACCACATTTAAAAATACCATCAAAAGTTTATTATTATCATTTTCAGGAGAGGTATTTCAAAAAAATAGCAGGTCAGAGAAGGTAAATGTCCTGAGTTATTAGAATAAGGAAATTTGTTCTCAAGACTGATCAGATAAAAAAAATATTCAATGGTTCTTTTTAATGTGATGTATAAAAATATAAACATGTAATACTCCTTCAAACTTATATAATCAATTACATGTATGCATGTATTTCCCTTATAATAGCCAATACACAAGTATTAATATTATTGGTTCATGTTTCAAATTGTGACGCTACTTCAATTTGTAGTTTAACATACAAAATACTGGTCAGGTCCAAACAAATATGTGTCTCATTGAGTCGTTAAGATGAAAGAATCGGTAAATTTGCAATTCTTTAAAAGTCCTTTTATAGATAAAGATGTTCATGTTATCATACTGTGTGATTCATGGAAACAAGTCTAATTTTGATTGGTCTCAAAGATATAAATGGGTTGAATTCATTACTGAAAAAAGGTATCTGGAAACAAACCTAATTTGATTCAGTCTTAAAGATTAAAGCTTGGACAATTTCAGTACTCAAAACAGGTACATGTAATTGGAAACCATCCAATTTTTTATTAGGCCTAAAAGAACAAAAACAATTTTTAGTACTCAAAACTTAAAGTTTAGGATAGGGTAAAGTGCATGTTACTGTTAATTATATTGATGACAATTTAGTGAATTTGTTATACATGTGTTTTACCAGTAAGCACATATTAAAACTCAAGTTTCCAAAAGTACTTAGTAGTGTCTTATAATGATTACGTTACCTTTGAAATACCCTATGTTTATTTAACTTTCCAAAACAAGATACACGTATTTAGCAGTTCCACAACTGTGTTGGCATACAAAATTAAATGTGGTTTTAGCAAACCTAGACATATAGAAATAGAAAGCTTTGTTTTGTTTGTTTGTTTGGTTGTTTTTTTTTTGTATTTTTGTTTGTTCGTTTGCTTATTAGTTTTATGCTGAAACTTGTATATAATGGTGTATATTTACATGTTATAAGTTTAGACATTAACATGTAAATGATATAGTTAAATATCAATTTAATATATTTACATGTAACATATGCATGATATCTTCCAATCTAACACTTATTTTGAAATTGAAGGGCACCGTATCAGCAGGTCTTCTTCCGATGGCTGGCTTTTCAGCTGTACCAAGGATCCCACCACCAGAAACTCCTGTAGGCATTACTCCAGGACTAGCCATGACTACTAGAGTACTAAAAGCCTCGATGCTTTGCAGATTGAGAATTCCACCAACTGGCCATGATGAAGATGGTCTTAGTGACCCAGAGAGTAGTTTATACATGTATTGTCTTTATTTTTGAAATATTAAGTTCAAATGTATCAGAGTACAACTTTATTATATTTTCTTTGTTTAATAAGAATTTTTAAGATATTAATGAAATTTCAATTGACATGATTGATAAGTGGAGTTTAAGAAAGCTATTTGACTACATGTATATGATATATAAACAGATAAATATAGCTAGATAACATGGAAACTTTCAATTTGTAGAAGTTTCGTCATACACTTCTTTGCCACATTAAGTACCGGTAGTAAACATGACGTTCAATTTGTTTTTCATAACATTTGATGCAGTGTGATGAAACTTTGATAGCTACTTATGTGGATACATTTCCTGTTGTATAGTTTTTGATGCAAATGAAATATAATTTTTGATGCAATTAAAAAACCCACTTCAAATGTTTTGAAGTACTAGAGTATACTTGCTACTTAGATAATTTTCGCTCTTATACTTTACAAAATCTTAAATGGATTTTAGGAAATATTTCATTGTGGTAGATATTTCAATTGGCTATTTTTTCTCAGCATTTCCTACCAAATGAAGCTCATTCTGTTTTACGTCATGCTTTCAGAATGAAAAATTATTCAGTTTAAAAATAAATTCTGACAAAAGAAATTAAAAATATATATTCTGCATCTTTTCATATAAGAGTCAGACATCCATAGTTTGCAATATAGACTAATTCACAATGAGAAAATTAATTTCAAGGTTGTCAAAGGGAGATAATTCACATTTTTTTTGTAACCTTTTACATGAATTTTTAAAAGTTTCAAGAATTTGAATAGTCATCATGGTCATTGCATATTTCGATATTCAAATCTGTACTTCACCATAATAAACATTTTTACATAATGACAAATATATTTTTAAGGTCCTTTGTTTTAGAAAGGCATTTTGAATAAGATTCATTAGCAAAACATTTCATTTTATAATTACATCTATTTCATAGCCTTCATCATGCAGGGTAGGTCATTGTAATGTACATGTTCATATGTCATGTCAATTTCCACCATTTGGCACACATGATTTCACACACATACAAATTACACAAATTCGGAAACTTGTTACACTTTTTCTAACATATGAATTAGTAGTTTCCCTGATTGTAATAATGATATTAACTTCTTTTTTATGACCTACAAAATGTACATGTACTAAAAATATAAATTGTCTCATGTCCCTTTGTTTTTCTATCTGTTTAAATATGGGTTTCAATTACATCCCTGTTGTATAAAACCTTGTTCACACGACACAACAAAATCGGATTTGAAATCAGATATGACAACCAAACCAATTTGTGTTCACTCGTATGTGAAATTAAATCTAGATTATCAATTACACATTACAGAACCAGTTGTAAATGCAAACTGAATTCATATCTGATATGATCAATCCAGATCTACATCATATCCAATTTGAATCTAGCATTTGGGTGAACAGGGTTTAATAGTATACAACATTTATCAGTAAATTGGAATCATCTTGAACTAAATTTCATGATTGATAAATTTTGTTTTTCTTTTTTTTTCTTTTAAGGTTGTGGGATCTCAAAACTATAGTGACGTATCAGTGATATTACAATATTGCCTACCATATATCTTATATAATAATTTGTTAACTTTGTCCTACACAACACACTTGAGTGACTTGGGGTTAAAAGTTTGCAATTTAGTCCTCGGGGAATTTTTTTTAAGGATGTACAGTGTATCAGTGATTACTGAATACAGATCTTTAACATTTGGTCAGCATGGCCTATATTTTAAGTTTGGTTGACTTTCAATTAAACTTTATGTGACTGTCACATCTCAGAAACGCATGATGGTAAATGAATAACATATCACTGCTGCAAGCATTTCATATCGTACAAACTATTTTCACAACAATTTAAACACTCTGACCCACATTTTATGTTTGAGCAATTATAATCATAATTCACTTGTTGATTCATATTTTAGACACTAAAAGTTGTAGACTATTGGTTTTTGACCGTGGTACACTCTTATTCCATTGTAAAAACTTATCTTTGAACATGTGGTTATTTATGAACGTAATTTTTTCATCTGGGTGACCTTGTTTTGTCTTTAATTTAGCAAAAAGGTCCATGTCTAGTGGAAGCTTTTTCATAATGTGCTTTTAAAAAGGGTCATTATTTACATTCAGATTCAAATTTTATTCATCCACTGTCTCACTACATCATCTATTTGTATTTTTAACGAATTTTTAGCTAAAAATAAGCTTAGATTTTACCTCACTCACTGTCACTTTAATTATCTGCATTATTTTACATGGAGCATATTTCGTTAACAACCTTTGTTTTTACATCACATGACTTAATTGATTTTTGATTAAAATGAATCGTTCATAAAAACATTATACAAACCATTTTTCATTTTTCGTGAAAAAAAGCTGAAATCTATGTCTACTTCATTTTACCAGCTATGTAAACATTGCGGTTATTTTAAATATCTACCTCCTGAGTCTTCTTAGATGGTTTAATTGAGAAAAAATGTTTTGAAAATTTGACCTTACAATTTGATTGCTTGATTTTTGTCGAGCTTGCGAAATTTATTTCGCGAAAGTGTGACAAAGCGATTCCTTGATTCCGGGGGCGGTAGTGACAACATTTAGGTTCAATCTGTGGTTAAAGTTTTTTTAGACACCAATAGCTTTGTCTAACCTACATGGAATTTTATGAAATTTGGACAGAAGCTTGTTTATGACCAAAATACAGTATCCAGAGCAAAACATTTAAAATACCGTATTTTACTTATAAATGGACTTACAGTTAACAAGTAGATACAGTCTTGGGTTAAATTAAAGTTTGTTACACATCAATTTCTTTGGAAAACCTTCATAGAGTTTTATGAAACTTTAGCAGAAGCTTTTTAATGATTAAAAGATAGTGTCTGAAGTAAACCTTTGAACATATATTGTTTTCATGTTTAGCATTTTTCTGATGCATGGACATTTTTTTACAGTTATTTTTTACAGACAGTTTGAGATTAAATTTTTTGACATGATAGATTTGTAAACCTTCATGGATTGTTATGAAACTTGGAAAGAAGCTAATATTCAAGAACAAGAAATAGCATCTTAAGAAAAAAGTTTAAATTTATTTTAAATTCTGTATTTTACTGATAACTGTACTCACTTTTTTTAGTCAACATTACTCTTTTACACCGAAAGCAGCAATTGAAGGCGAGACACAGGGTCCTGCGGTACCCCTTACGATTTTTATTGTGATTAACGCTACTTTGACTAATATTAGTATGCAGAAAACATAAGCTCTATTGAGCTTTTATATCGTCTTTAAATATAGATACAGTAGATACAGTCTGGGATTAAAGTTTGTCAAACATCAATTACTTTGTCAAACTTTATAGACTTTTATGAAAAGACTGTACTTAAAACTAAAATTCGTTCTGAAAACCATAGAAAAATGTTCGACAGATTATTTCTGTATCATTTTGTAAAATAAGCATAATTACTGGTTTTCACTGTTCTCTATTTAAAAAATGTGATCTGAGGATTCATTATTATTGATAGAATACCAATCTTTCGTGGATTTCTTGGGTAAAGGTAAACCATGAATTTAAATGTTCAACAAAGCACACATTTTTTATATGTGTGTATGCCATGTATGCCGACTTTCGAAAAACCACAAAATCAAATATCCACGGAAATACATTTTTTTGGTAAATCCAAGAAAATTGGTATAAATGAATCCACAGAACATGCCACTATATTTCCATTCCATTTTTTAAATTTGCATTTACATGTAAAGTACTAGTAAATAACTCTTCTTCATTTTACAGGTTTAAAAAATTATAGTTTTTTTATTTCTTACTATACACATGTATTCATCTGTAGAGTTTAGAAAAATTGGTGGATCTAGGAAGAGGATCAGTTACTCTGATAGAGAAAAGGCTTTTATTTCCTCCTCTTGCACTTAACAATCCTTGTAAGAGACTGGAAATCCTCTTATTGAGGGTTTTAGATTTCCTCCTCTTGCACTTGACAACCTTTGTAAAAGACTGGAGATCCTCTTTTTGAGAGTTTTGGATTTTCGACTCTTACACTTGACAATCCTTGTTAGTGACAGGAAATCCTCTACTGGTGAGTTTTAGATTTCCTACTCTTTCACTTGACAACCACTAGAAGAGACTGGAAATCTTCTACTTTTGAGTCTTAAATTTCATATTGTTGCACTTGACAACCCTTGGAAAAGACTGGAGATCCTCTTTTTGAGAGTTTTGGATTTCCTACATTGACACTTGGCAACCCTAAGAAGAAACAGAAAATCCTCTACTTGAGAGTATTAGATTTCCTACTCTTGCACTTAACAATCCTTGTAAGAGACTGGAAATCCTCTTATTGAGGGTTTTAGATTTCCTCCTCTTGCACTTGACAACCTTTGTAAAAGACTGGAGATCCTCTTTTTGAGAGTTTTGGATTTTCGACTCTTACACTTGACAATCCTTGTTAGTGACAGGAAATCCTCTACTGGTGAGTTTTAGATTTCCTACTCTTTCACTTGACAACCCCTGTATTAGACTGGAAATTCTCTACTTCAGAGTTTTAGATTTCATACTGTTGCACTTGACAACCCTTGGAAAAGACTGGAGATCCTCTTTTTGAGAGTTTTGGATTTCCTACATTGACACTTGGCAACCCTAAGAAGAAACAGAAAATCCTCTACTTGAGAGTATTAGATTTCCTACTCTTGCACTTAACAACCCCTAGAAGAGACTAGAAATCTTCTACTTTTGAATCTTAGATTTCCTACTCTTGCACTTGACAACCCCTAAAAGAGACTGTAAATCTTCTACTGTAGAGATTTTTATTCCTACTCTTTCACTTGACAACCCTGGACAAACACTGGAAATCTTCTACTTTTGAGATTTAGATTTCCTACTCTCGAGCTTGACACACTCCTTCAGGAGACAGGAAATCCTCTAGTTGATAGTTTTAGATTTCCTTCTCTTGCACTTGACAACTCCTAAAAGAGACTAGAAATCTTCTACTTTTGAATCTTAAATTTCCTACTCTTGCACTTGACAACCCTGGACAAACACTGGAAATCTTCTACTTTTGAGTCTTAGATTTCCTACTCTTGCGCTTGACACACTCCTTCAGGAAATCCTCTAGTTGATAGTTTAAGATTTCCTTCTCTTGCACTTGACAACCCCTAGAAGAGACTTGAAATCTTCTGTTTAAGAGTTTTAAATTTCCTACACTTGCACTTCACGAACCTTGTAAAAGACAGGAAATCCTTTTCTTGAGAGTGTTAGATTTCCTTCTCTTTCACTTGACAACCCCTAGAAGAGACAGTAAATCATTTACTTG